AATAATGGGGTTTTGAATTTTGTTTAGGTGGTTTGTATATTTTATTAACTGTTTTTTAATGAATGAATCGATAGGATATCTACCCAACTCACTTTATTTTCCCAATTTCGGAGTGTTTTTTGAAATGCCTAGAATGAAGCGACAAAAGCTGAGGTGTACATCTTCTATAGTAGAGTTGAATGAACTTTCTTCAGCCCATACTTCACATCCATATTATAAGAAATTGGTCTTATTAGTTTATCAAACAATGATAACAATAATGAGGGACTGAGGCTTTCATTATGACCTAATTTGGCTTTCAAAGAGAATAATGCTTTCATTCCTTTGTATTTCAGATGTTTCATAGCAGCTTTAAATTTTCCATTAGGGCTGAGAATAATACCTAAATAATTATAATTTCTCACGATGTTAATCTCATTCCCTTCAAAAAAGAATAAATCACTGTCATAGAAGTTTATTATTTTTATTAAAAACCATAATTTTTGTTTTTTCTGTGTTCACAGCGAGTTTCCATTTTTGTGTGTATTTTGAGACACAGTATATCCCCTCTGGAAAACTAGAGGTTTCCTCAAGAGGGGCTTATACAATTAAATGTGGAGAAGGGCTGGAGTGTCCTGAGAGGAGTAACAAAATAAGTCATTCCAAATGTGACTGTTGTTGAAAAAGTGTTTAAAAATATATTTTGCGTGGAGAGCTGGTTGATACAAGTGGCTTCAGGGGAGAGTATTTATCCACAAACTTAATTTGAGTAGATAATACAATGATACAAATATCAATCCACTTTACAAATAATAATGTATTCAACACCTGGTGACAGTTCCGGACATTCAATGTCACTGTTGTCTCTCCTGACAAACTGCGAGTGCTAGTGCTGAGACATAGTGCATTTTTTCCACAGAAGCCATATTCATGTTTGGAATTATATCATAGGGCTGTGCGGCCATCTCCCTATCAAATGGATTGTGCTATGTTATTCAAATAATTAACAAAACAATAAAGTCTCCAAAATTTATATTTTATTTAACTAGTCTTATCGAAGATATGGTAAATATTATCAAGAATTCCAGGAGCAGCATGGCATTACAGTGTCTATTGGACAAGCACGCTGGTATACAACCTGTATGAATAGAGTATTTCTAAAAATTGGACAGAGTAATTCTACCTTATTCCATGCATGGTTTACATTTGGAATATGGTTTGGTATTATTGCAATGGTATCATCAATAGTTTTATTAGTCTTCATGTTAATCAAGACATTCCAACAAGACTCGACTTCAGAACAAGTGTTGACTCCTGTGGTAAGAATTATTTGTTATTTACTAATGAACTCCTACAATGAATAGATTTTTTTTAAAGAGTGGTAGGTAAATGGTAGTGAAAAAAATCACAAAATGACCTTTGACCTGATTATGGTCAGCCTGTTGACGCACCATCATAGATATTGTTGGGTTTACCTCTATAGTCAGATGACCTGATGTATGGAGCAATGGTCAGCATGTCTTCCCAACATCAGCTTTTTGATAAAATGTTGACAATTTTTTCACAGTTACTGTACAAGATAATAATTGTTGAAATCAGGTTTTTATGTGCCTCCATCGAACTTTTCCAGCGTGCTGACCTTATGGCCAATTAACTCAAATTTAGCCTAAACAATTGTTGAATGATGATATTTTCAATAGTCAAGATATTGAGAAATTAGTTTCCATAAAAATGCAATAATGTTAGCATACTATCCCACACTAAATATACATGTATCTAATTTCTAAATGGTGGACGTCTCTGGGAAACTGACAACACTGATCAATTTTGTCAACGGTGGAAATTGTACAAGATGGTATATCACATGACAAATTTATTTAAGACACTTTGTTATGTGAAACAGTATGTGGATCCATTGTATAGTCACTAAGCCTGGTTCTTTAAATATATAGTGGGTTTCTGAGATAAACTAAATGCAACATGAACATTAAATTTTAACAAACAAATGAAGAATGGACTATACTATTACATAATCAGAGAATTTTGTAAAATGTTTTTTTGTTTTCTTTCTTTGCCTGTTGCTACCTCACCTCAAAAGGAAAGGTCACGTGTCAAATAACAGGAATGGCAGCATATAAATTTAGTAGATTGAAGTACGTGTAGTATGGAGTAATAAGTGTCTACTGACATGGCTATAAATGGCCTGAGATATTCATTTACAATGAGTTGTATGTAAATTGATGCAGAGAGAAGTAGGCGCTCATAAAATTGGTATGCACTAGAATGGTAATCAAGTAATGTAATAAAACAGCGGAACAGTAGTGTTGTAGTCCTGGTGTAAACACACACACACCACCTGTCCCTGCTCTAATTTTGTGCATTGGGGGGAGGGTTCCAGACCAGAGTAGAGATCATGTGGCTAATCAGTTTCTTTCCTTGAATATTAAATATAAAGTAATTCTTCTGTGGTTTTCATTTGACAGGGTACAACGTTGCATTATATTCTTTATTGTTCAGAATAGAGATATTTTCTTGTATAGCTACCATTACCAACACCAGTCTTGTAGTGAAGAAAGTTTGTTTGTAAACCCATCTCTTACTCTTTTCTATAGATGCCTGGTGTAAACTTGCCACTTAGTCAGATTGCCTATTATTTTCTCACCTTAGCAGTTTGTGGAATTTTACATGAGTTTGGACATGCCATTGCCGCGGTCAAGTAAGTAATATTCAAAATAAATAATGGGTTGTTCCCTTTTTGCAATGTTTTGTAATATTTCAAAATGCTACTTAGTCAATGGTACATAAAATCCTATGCAATTAGTTTAGAAGCTTATAAGGTACTGTGAAATACTTTATTTTAGTTGAAATTAATTTTCACTGAAATGACTTTTTGGGTGTTTTGTATGGAACTTATTTTCACTGATTTTTGATGAGTTGAATGTAAACTATAGAAAAAATGCATATTCACTGCAATTGGTTTTCACTGAATCGTCCCTTCAGCGCGAAAAGAGAAAATAAATTCCTAGTGAAAATAAAATATTTTACTGTTAGTTACTTATATCCAGTAACAGGATTTTAAATACTCACAACTCACTTAGTAATAATGTTAATTTTTTTTTAAATATCACAGACCTTAGCAACTCACCAGTTCGGAGATGCAGTTAAGAGGCTACAGACCCCCTAGCCTAGCTTTAAAATGTTTTAGTGATTATATGATTTCAATCATAGGCATACATAATCATACTTTGAATAATATGCACCACTAATCCATTGTAATTCGTCAAGTTGTTTTTGACACCTATTCAAAATTTATAAGCATTTGTAAATATTTTAGATAAAAAACATTCATGCCTTTACTGTAGCTATTTTAAATTTAATTTATTGCAGAGAGCAAGTACGAGTGAATGGTTTTGGTGTTTTTATTTTTCTTCTTTATCCTGGCGCATATGTGGATTTATACACGGAACATTTAAATGCGATATCACCTTTGCGCCAACTTCGGATTTACTGTGCTGGTGTCTGGCATAATTTTATCATTGTTGTTGTTTGTATTTTGTTACTACATTTTTTACCTGTGCTGTTACTACCACTGTATACAATGGGAAATGGTGCAATAGTAACAGAAGTATTACCGGTGAGTTTATTAAGGTAGAGATGTAGTTTATTTTGCAAATTTTGACAAATTTCACTTTTTTATATTTTTTATGGCATTGTATAAATATCTGTGTTCTGTGAAAATTTGAAATTAAAATCATTAGCAGGAACTCTGTTAAATCCAATGGCGATGTAAATCAGCATATATTTTTACTTAACTATAAAATATGCAAATTAGCAATTATCTCAGCTTCTTTTTAGTGCATTGTTTTTTGTTGAACAGTGTTACAACAATCATACAGACAAATCGCTTGGGTGTTAATTTATGCATAAACTTGAATTAGTGAAATTTGAGCTGCTGCCCAGCAAAATTGACAACTGGTAGACAGTTTTCAAGACGGCACTTTTTTCACAATAAACAGATGTACCCATAAACCAATTTTGACAGGAAACAGAGGCATGGTTTAGAAGCTACCAGTAATTTTTTTTAAATCACTTTTGACCCAAAAAAAACACATTTTTGTGCATATTTCAAACTAAAGTGTCCATAAAAAAAATACTACAAAATCTTAAAATTCATACAATAAGCTTTCCGAAAATATATAGTTTTGTGGACAAGGGAGGTCATCTTGGTTGCCTAATTAACTAATTAAAATACCTGTCAGGTAAACTGCATCTCTACCTTAAGGTAGAATCCTACCCATATTATTTGAGAAAGTTGGTTATAAATCGCATGACAATTTTATTAGTTTATTATAAAGGCACCACGAAATAGTAATCTTTTATTTGTTGTAGTGACATATTTTAAGGAGCTTGTCCTGATACTTTTCATAAAACCTTATTTTAGAACAATTCCGTAAGCACAATGTTGAAAAATTTTTGACACTTTTTAAAACCAAGATTTTTGAAAAAATAGAGGACAACAAATAGTACCCCATCATTCACTATATATGTCAATAGCCTACAATTCAAGATATGATATGTTATATCTCTGCTATGGAAATGTCTGGTAAAAGCATTAATAATACTGCCAAAATGGAAAGCAATCAATTACAATGCTTCATTTTCTTGAAAATTAGGCTGGTGATGCCCAACTTTTTTTTAGTGAATATCCTTATATTGCCCAGAAAGTATACTTTATTGCAAAATGACTAAATTCTCGGTATTTGCATTCATGAGTAGGCTTCTAACTTAAGATACTATTTTATTTACTGATCACTGACACTTCCACCAGTGTGTCCACTGTATGCTGATATGAAGTGTCACTGATATGTTCAGATTTTCTTTTTCATGGAACTAGTTCTGCTTATTTCTTAGCACACCAATAATACAACACAAAACATTCCTCCTGGAAATTAGATTCATCAGGTTATGCAAAGTGTTGATACTAAACATTTCTATCTAAAATAATTTTACTACATTAAGCCATACCCACATGTACCTTAAATCAATTGATAGACACAGTAGGGAAAACCTATCTCCCCCATATGGAGGCTCCTCTGAATTGCAGTGCTCCCTCTTGCAGTTTTTTTCTAGAAAAAAACCTGGATAGATTATCGATTGAGAACTGGCATGTCTTGATCTTGACCTCAAACTTAAGTTTTCTGTGTTTCTTCATTCAGCATTCCCCAGTATCTGGAGAGAACGGTTTAGATGTAGGATATAAATTACTCAGTATTAATGGTTGTACTATTAATACGTCAGAAGACCTATTGTTGTGTGTGAATGATGTCATCCATCAACCAACAAAAGGCTATTGTTTGTCCATAGATGATATACAACAGATGAACAAGGCAAACACAGGTATGAGTACCATAATAGTATTAGTGTCATAATTAATCGACCATTTTTCTTTCACTGCGAGATCCCATGTTATGCATGAAATTAAATATGAAAACAGAACAAACACCGTGTGGTATTCAATAAATGCAAATATTTTTTGGGGACATTTTCATGTTTAATAATGTGCTATAATGATGGTCAATTTTGATGAAGTAAGGGTATCTCAATGGAATATTGAACTCTGCATTTCAACATTGAGCTATAATTGTATTTTTTCACTCTACAGGTGACAA